TGCTCCCAGTCATTACATATTCTGTCTTTTCTCTTTCGAAGTTTGGGCTCATTCCAACATTTTCAGAGTGATGTTGAAAGTGATAGTAGTGATTATGACAATTTTCCCATCGGAACTATCTCTGAAGACGTTATCATCAGCAAAAAACGATGAGCAAGGCGAAGAGAAAAATGAAGGCGTAAGCGATGAGATAACCCGAAGTAGCGGAAAACGTAAGATTCAGTAACTCGAATTGTTACTTTCTTCTTCTATTTGTTTCCATTGAGCTGCAAAGTCCGAAGAGAAATTTCCAGAATCTCGTCGCAAAATGAAACGTAACAGTAAATTTCGTGAAGCTGTTCGAAGGAAAAAACCGCTCTTTGATCCCAATGAGAAGACCTTTGAAGAATATTTCAATGAATATTATGCTCTCAACTACGAGGATATTATCGGTGGGAATATTTCACTTTTTTGGCCCGCTCACGATGGTACATAATAGCCGTGTTGCACGTATTTCTCTCCGTCTGTAACAATGTCCTCGCTTTTGTGATGACAAACGCAGAACGTTTTATAGCGCTTTTATCGATGTAGCTTTAGGTTTAGCAAGATCCTGATAATTTATTGAATTGTACTTTATTGGAGCCTCATTATCTGAATATCGTATAACACTCTCCGAAAGCTTTTTGCAAAACAACTCAGATTTCTTGACGGAAACTCGAAAATTCCCGATTTTTTGCATTTTCTCGGTGCCTAGCACCGTCTCCAACAGTACGGTAGCTACGTAATAACAGTGGTGGCAAACCGAATGTGGGAGGTTATTTCAACACTTTTCAAATTATCGTGCTTTGAATGTTAGGCCGCTGACGAGTACTAGTTCAAAATATTCGCAAAAGTGCTCGGAAAGTTGAGTCTCATAACTTTCGAGTTCCTTTAAAATCGTTTTTCGAAGAACGTTTGAATTGTGCAACATTGAGGATGAGTTTGTAATCTACTACGTAAAACCCCTAAAGACTGACTGTATGACGTCTTTCATTGCTTCTTTCACTATTTGTCTTTCGCTGGTGTTTACGAAAGCGCGGTTAATACTTTGCTACTTGATCGCGCGATTGGACGCGGTTGAAACCGACTTCGTGAAGCGCGTGAAACTTACGATCTCAGGAGATCTGTCAGCCGCGAAGCCTCCCTCCTCCTTCCTTCTTCCTCATTCTTTCCTTGTTTTCTTTCCTCTTCCTCTCTTCCTCCCTGTTCTCCTCCTTTCAAGTGCTCGGCAAGAAGATGCTACGAAAAAATGCCTCTGGACCCTGGACCCTCTAGCGAAGGAATATATATAGTTGACAGATGTCGTGTAACCTTAGGCCCCAACTGGTCACCGGCGCCAATCGCTCCACTCGTGCGATCAAAGCACAGTGAAGTACTAAAACCCTACTAAAACCCCCTTGACAATGTCTTACCTGTGCCTCACAACTATGTGCCATCGTGAACGTTTAGAAATTAGTTGATTGTTAAGCTTCCAATGTTTTCACTATACAGGAGATCATCTTACACGCTTCAAATACAGGCAGGTTGTGCCGAATGACTTTGGCCTATCGGTGGGCGAAATCTTGTCAGCAGACGATCGGCAACTAAATGCATGGGCTTCGCTCAAAAAAGTAAATTCATTTCTTATTTTTCTTTCTTCTCTTTGAACTATCTCAAAACTTCGAATGATTCAGGCAACTGGTTACCGAAGTGAGCACGAGGAACTTGTTGATGTGAATCGATTTAAGAAAAAGGCGGCTGATGTGAAGAAAAAGCAGCGCATTTTTTCCACTGATTTTGGAGGGTACGAAGTCAAGCCTGGAGACTGTATGTGGTGTCAGGATGTAGTCGGAATGCTATTTCTGTTTCAGAAAAAAGTCTAAGAAGTCGGAAAGTCAACCTGCAGAAAGCGAGGTCCTAGCCAGCACCAGTGAGACAAAGAAGAAGAAAAAGAAGAGGAAGAAGCAGATTGATCAAATTAGCTCCCAGGTATGATCTTTTCCTTTACTTTTTGACAAACGTTCTGCAGAAGTGTGCCAGTTATTCTTTTTCTTAGCACTGAATTCGAGCAATTCCTGTTCAACCGTTTTCACTCATTCTTCATAATGTTAAGCGCTATAATTCCAACCTTAGGAACATTTGCGAATTATATCTTTTTGCACATGATTTAAAAGCCTTCTAACCAGCTGTAACTGTAATCAACAATTTGCTCCGTGCTTTCAAGGCTGCTACCTCACTGTTCAGGCACGCTCTTCGAGAGACTTATCATTTGTGAGGACCAGCCAGGATCCTATAAAGGCAGTATTGCACAAGGGAAACACGGGCTCGACGATCATCACTCTTCTCAGCTGCACGCCTCGCAGCCCTGACATCATTGATGGTCCAAACCACGTCTAGTCGACTTTTACGAGCTACCCGATACATCCGCTATCAAACTCCGCCTTTCCTCGACCCAGAAAACGCACTGCCCATTCTAAAGTCATGTCTTACAGGTGCCAATAAAACCTGACTTACCCCTAAATAGTTGACTTGATTCTCAGCCTAGAGCGATAGAGCTTACCACTGGGTATGTACTGAATTGATAATAGTAAATTCGCTGCTTTAGCTACATCTTAATTGCTATCACGACTAACTAATCCTTCATGGAAACCTTCGCCTCCAGCTTAGCGTCGGGAAGAAAAAAATTCTAGTTGCAAAAGGCAAGGAGTTTGTTTGTACCATCCTCAAATATTAATGGTCGCCATACCGATCCCCTGTCTACGTCATTCATACCTCGCCTCTGCTAACGTTATGTTAGAGCCTATGCTTTCCACTATCGCGCCTGTTCCACCTGTCATCAACTCAAGCTTCACGACTCACCGTCTACGGCATACTTTTCTCATGATAAGGCTGTTTTTTGCTCACTGGAGACAATGACCTACCTTGCCTCTCGCACAGTGCCCCGCAAATCTGCCACTATCAAATCACCCCTCCGCTCGCATTTGCTTTGTATTTATAATCTTCTCTTGTTTCTATGAAAAGTCTGAAGTCCCCCTTCACTTCCTTGCTTTCGAACACACGGCCATCCTTGTTCGTCCTGCAGTATAAGCCTGCAACCGATGGTTGCAATACACAAACCCTTTCTCCACTCCCACCAAAGCTGAAGCGGAACCATACAACACTTGTATGAAAAACGGCTGATACGAATTATGTGATACAGAACCCTTCACACGCTTTGGCTCGCCCACCACCACTCCTGTGTTAGATAACCGAGTGACACTTCACGCTATACATATTCGCTTTGATCCAGGCCCCTTTCAATCTAGCAACGACAGACAGCGCTGCCTTCTGTCGCTTGCTGATAGTGGATGAATGAGTAACTTTGATTTCTCTCTTCTGTTAAGTAGAACACTTTGTTCTTCTCATCTTGCCTGTACCTGTTCAATCGCTAGTAGTGGATGATGCTCCTGATGTGTCTGAGCACTTCTGCTTGCACACCACTAATCAGATCAGTAATGTAGGGACAGTTATGGTTAAAGCAGTGATGGACCAAACATTTCGTAACTTTTCTAGCTCTTTTATTACACTCGGCCGGAGGTTAAAGCAAGCATTATTTAATTTACAGTTTACAGTTGCGTTTGCAGTTACGTTTACAGTTACAGTTACAGTTACAGTTTAATTTACAGCAATTTGAATATATTCTGTAATCGTCGTGAGTTATGTGGTGGCATGTTAATGTCCACACTTCAGGAGAACGCGGAAGCAGTGGCATCGCAACCGTGCGTCAACGGCGTCGCTGAATCAAATGATGAGCAGGAGAAAAAGAAAAAGAAGCGAAAAAGGAAAAGAAAGGCTCATGATATTATTCAATCCGTACAGGAAATTCAAACAAGCGAAGCACCACCACCCACGAAGAAAGCAAAAGTCAAACATCCTTTAAAAGAAAAGGTACGTTGCGGGTTTTGTTTGGTACCTACACTCAGTATATAACGTATCTGTTCTGTCACAGAAGCGAAATGTGGAAGTAAGCATCGATGATAGTCGTCTCCGCGCATATGGACTAAATCCGAAGAAATTCAAGAATAAGCTCAAATATGGAAAGAAAAAAGCAGAACATTCCAGCTGATCCAATTTATTAGCTGGTTGTTGCTCCTGCATATAGTCACATGTGTATTTTCCTGCCTGTTTAAACTTAGATTGTTACTGTTGACCTGTTTGTTGATTGTATTGCTGTTGAATTGTTACGAAGAAAGTTTTCCCTAAGCTTACCTGAATTACGAAGCGGTAATAAAATTCCGCCAGGTTATCTCACATTGTGAAAGGCTTTCACGTTGTATCCACGTGGAACTTATGTGTTAAACGTGCTCATCGATTCAGTTTTTTTCTACATACGAACCACTACCAACGGTTGTGAAACACATTTTTGAATTTGAGGTGGGTTTTGTCTTGAATTTGCTTATTATCTCATTACTTCCCATTTGCTATTACCTTCACAGTCCTGCAATTTTTTTCAAGTAACTGTCTACTGACAACTTTTGAGGTAGCTTAGGAATATGGGTGGAGTTCTCAGTTACTTTCGTGGTCTGTTTGGTCAGCGGGAAATGCGTATCCTGATCCTTGGTTTAGATGGTGCAGGAAAAACAACTATCCTCTACAGATTACAGGTAAAATCTTTTCAAAGCACAAATTATCAGTTCTTAGTCATTATACGTAATTGTTAAGGTTGGAGAAGTCGTCACAACTATTCCAACCATTGGGTTCAATGTTGAGCAAGTAGAGTACAAGAATCTCAAATTCCAGGTACTTTATCCAGTGTTGATTATTCGTCTCCATTGGTGTTCTCATTCCCCTTTAGATGCTGCTGAACTAGTTCATATTCGTGCTTGTAACAAGCTTCAGCTAGAGTTCATACTTTGCGTCAGCTTTTTTGAACGACTACAAAAGGACTGGTTTCGGTCTAGCGTTTTGAGCATTTCTTAGGTAGGTTTGAGCTTTTCGCGGGCAGTCGCTGAAACCGCTGACGTACGTTCAAAAAGCTAGATCGACATCTATGGTTCCCTAATCGCTCAAAGCGATGATGCAAAGTATGGACGCAGCCTTAGCGCCATGGTCATAGACTTGATTGAAGATACATTCCACGGGTTATATCGTCCTTATTGAGATCCAATTATAAGCTTGTGGAGTCACCTTGGCCCACTTTAAACAAAACCATCGGAAACGCCCCAAACGTCCGCTTTATTCTCAGCAGTGAACGAGCATACTTTCCATGAAGATGCAGGGACACTCAGGCTAGTGGCCCGGCTGGCGGGGGCGCAGAAACAAAAGAAATCTGTTGCAACATCACGCAGTAGTGCACTTATAGACATCATATTGTTATGGGCGGGCCTTTACAGCCATCGCCACCTTTGGCGCCCTTGCAACGCATTTCCAAATGACAAAAGTGACACACCCTGTGTGGGCTGGGAATGACTGCGCTTCCTAAGCGTATGAAGAATCGCATCACTCAAGAAATAGCGGGATGTGTCTTTAATCAAAAGCTGGAAATCTTTTTTAGTTCATTTCATTTTGCCTTACGCCATCACTCCTCGAAATTCATGGAAAGCTTTTATTTCTGGGATTGAGGATAAAAAAATAACCGAAAAGATGTTGTGGGATTACAAGGAAAACGAACTTTCTAGACACCAGTGTACATTTCTATGTGTTCTGTGATTGTTGGACTTTTCGCGCTGCTCTGCAGCTGCTATTCGAAGAAAAACGTAAAAAAATGAGCCAGGGTGCAGCGCACAAATCGCTGTGCAAACCCTATGCAATACCGCACTGAGGGATCGCCAGCGCAGCGGTCCTGTACCTGTTTCATTTGTTGATTCCTATAGGGTCTATTCAGCTTTTTTGAAGATCATTTATCGTTAAAACTAGGTTCATACTTTGCGACTTGAGCGATTCAGCCGCGCAGAGAATCAATAACAGACATCCCCTACACCTCTAGTCGTTGGACCGCTGTAACTGCAACCCCAAGGGCCGGATTTTGTTCGAACGTTGCAGCGGTCCGAATATTACCAAGGAGCACGTTTGGATCCAGTCGCGCCATTCAGTTGTGCGTCCCGAGAAGTATGAACGCAGCCCCACATCTTTTTTCGAGAACAGGATCGATGAAAACAAAAATACTAAAGCATCGGTTGGTTCATGTTAGTTGTCTAGGCCACGTGCGCATTCACTTCTTTCTAGAATCAGAATGGTAGTCAAATGCGCGGCGCGTTCAGACTTCGCGATAATGCACGTCGACGCGCTGTACTACGCTACAATTGCTGCAGCGCTCCCATCCCATAAACGCGAACGCAGCCGCAGACGGAATCGACCGGCGCGGCCTCTGTATTGGAAGTGTGGTTGGAAGGCACGTGTGGCCTAGTCTGGTATCGATCAGCACTGTCCGATACGAATCGACCGCCGGCGCCGATCGATTGCCTTCTTGGGCTGCGTTCGCATATGTCGCGCTGTTCCGATCGTAGCGCGTTATAGCGAGTCGACGCACGTGATCGCAAAGTCTGAACGCTTCCTGAAGTATTAACCAACAAGTGAAGCTTGATTTTTTTTGCTTCACTGTTGCTGCAGCTCATTAAGCTCATTCATGTTTGAATCGGACTAACATGACGGAATTCCGGGGATTTTCAAATTTATCTGTAATTCAGTTGACTGAGATCTGTGAATTAAGGTGTGGGACCTTGGTGGACAAACGTCAATTCGCCCATATTGGAGGTGTTATTATGCTAATACCGATGCCATTATCTACGTGGTAGATTCTGCAGATAGGGACAGAGTAAGTAACAGACATCTGGAAGGTAGAGTGTAGAGTTGTTATAGCTATTCTTACGCAGGTTGGAATCTCACGTCAAGAGCTGGTGGCTATGCTACAAGAAGATGAACTCCAAGGAGCCATCCTTGCTGTTCTTGCCAATAAACAGGTGCGTTTGATATGCGAAATGCCGCTTCATAAGTTGAATGTGTTCAAGTTTCAGGATATTCCCAATTGCCTGACTCCAGCTGAGGTCCATAAAGCACTGGGACTGGAGGCATTACGAAATAGGACGTTCCAGATTTTCAAAACTTCTGCGTCAAAGGGTGAAGGACTTGATGAGGCTATGGAATGGTTGGCCAATAACCTGCAGCAAAAAAAGTAGTTTTATATAAGCGCTTGATCAGTCGTCTATTGACTGCTCGTACTCTGCATTAGTTACCGGTCTATTTTGTTTCTCGTACGTTAAAATATGATCTAATTCGCTAAGATGTCCAGCAATGTTCAATTGTTTCCAATGTTTGTTTAATTATATATGATTTTATCAGAATTGTTACGCACGTTGAGCAGCCCCTAATCATTTTTCCTCGTCAGGGACCGCGCTTATGGCGTGCTAGGCCTACTGAGCGCCTTATCTTGAACATTTGCCTCTATGCGTAATTATTTCGTCTATGTGAGTTCTGTGAGAGTTGTCTGTGATTTTTTACTAACATTGTTTCCTGTTATCTCGCGACATTATAAGAGGTCTTTCTCTTGGTTGTTTGCTACGATTACTTCGTGGGCTGGGCAATATGCAAACGCTTTGTGGAAGCATGTGAGTTGGTACAGTAACTTTGGGGAACATGCAAATAACTTCATAAATAAGAAAATACAAGTTCGTATCGTACAGCAGTATCTAATGGATGAGATCACCGTGACAGTCACAAATCCCCTATTTCTTTGCCCGTTTTGTTTTTGCACCGTACTTCGAGGCAAGAGAATCGAAGAAGCCATCCATACCAGAAGCACGATCAGCTTGCCGACGAAGAATAAGTTGTTGAAGATTGCTGTCTCCCTCCTAAAGAGGTGGTAAATTTGTCGGTGAAAATATCATCATCCAAGAACAACACTGTGATTTCTCAGTATGTAGAAATGGGAGTTTAAAAAGGTTAAAAAAGTAAGGAACCTTTGCTTTGATCTCTTTCAGTGCTTGTTCTGCTTCGGCAGCCTCTTTCTCTGCTTTTCTCCTTCGCTTACTTTCATTCACCTAAAAATGTAGTTATAATGAAACGGTTACTCACATAACAAAGTTTCGCTACTTAGCTTAGATGTCGACGACTTGTATTTTGCAGTCGCCTTCAGAACGCCCTCGCTGATCTTCTTGTCGATGATCGTCTGAAAGTAGTTGTAGTGAATTCCAAAAATGGCAAACCTGTTGTTCTACGACCTAGCTTAAGCATGCCCGCGTAAATGTAAGTTGTGTAAAATGACTCCTCAAATACTTTCTGTATGCTGAAAAGCGTATGCAAATAATAACATCTGAATTTCTAGCCAACATGTGATTATTCTCAGCCTTCCGTAATTGTTACAAACAATTCTTATACTGACACTTCGGCGAAAAATCGCCTTCATTAGAGCCTGCCAAGTCGAAAAGCGCATTATCAAAACGATTCACCCAGTCCATTTTTGTTACAGAAAATGTCGAAGGGTAGGAAATGAGGGAATGAAATTGTAAGGAACCCACATCTAGCCTTTTACGGATGTAAAGCTCTACCGGACACTCAGAACCTGATATGACTTCCAGCTCAGTTTGCGAGTTAAAGGGATTTAGGGACCATATAGCCAGGGCACGCCATCGCGTTGTGATCATTTCCTGAAAAATACGACCCCCCCCCCTAATTCCATCCTCAAATACGACCCCCTCCCTATGCTACCTACCAGTTTCCTAGATTTTTTTCCGTCGAGCAAGGGGGGATATATACCCAATCGTCGAGCAGGGGGGATATATACCCAATATGATACAGGGAAATTTCACATATTTTCCCTAACCTGGGGGAGAGGAGGTCGTAAGGATTTAACGATAATTTTCAACTTTCGGAAATATAGTGCAGGTTTTTGGCAGTCCCTCTCCCAACAACGACCAAATACGAGCCCCCCCCCGTTGTGATCATCACAACGATGTCGTACCCATAGAGCACCGTAGGGGTCAAGGGCCTAGAGAAAAAAAATCAAGAAACAACATCATCTGAGCGCAGGAGAGGTTATGCCTGTTGTTTCGTTTCTGTGTAAGGGCGTGTGCGAAGAAAAAACAAGAAAATGAACTACCTTTGAATACCCCACTCCACTCAAAAGTTCTCATAGAATGCCTGTAACACACTAATCGTTTCTTAAAATCATCAAAACCACTAGCAAACTATGATAACTATTTTGCCTCTGTAGGGGAAGAGCAGAAAGTAGTTGGAAGAAAAACGCTAGGGTCCTTCAAGAAGCCCTTTTCTATCCCACTTCATCGCCGTTGAAGGCACAACGAAACGAGAACACTTCAACAAATGGACTTGACACTAGTCTGACAAGGTCGGGCATTTCGATGCTGAGCACACAGTGTCAGAACTGGGGATAACTCTTTTCAACCAACCAGATAAGCAACTCGAAACGGACAAACCTTTATTCGTGGTTCGTCCTCGAAGGTGGAGCACATGACTGAGCTCATAATCATTGCCATGTCACCCTTCCAAGCATTGTAGGCCGTAACAATATCGTTCTCTTCCTCTTCGGAGCCTAGATAACAATAGTTTTAACAGAAATGTATTAATGAGAAAACCTATAGAGATTACCTTGATACTCTGCAGCAAATTTTTTGATGTCCTCGATTGTCACTTTCTTGAACACTTTTCTCCAAAGATTTATGCTATCCTCATCGCTTAGAACGTTTTCATCATCGACAATTCCTAAAATAAGCAGAGCGTGAAGTGAAATGAACTTAAAGGCCGTTTCAATTGTTCCTTGTGCTATACGCCACCGTTTACAACTAAAAATCACGCTGCAAAATCATGGTATACACTCTGAAAATAACAGCATCTAGGATTCTGAACTAGCTGTGTCAGGACTTGGTGGTGTCATAATCCAAAGGAGAGAAATTATGTGCTATCGAGGTGGAGGCTGCTCCAGCAGTTCTCACAAAATTTACCACGAATTACCTGTCGATCGGGCAGGTAATAGTCAGCGGTCAATGCCGTGCTAACATGCAAAATGCTGTGCGTGCTCCGAAGGCAGCGGGTACGGTTGTTGGAGGCGGGTGGTTGTTTCCAACGTCATTGGTGGAAGGGCTGAGGGGTGTGGCCGAGCGCCCTCTTGCAACCTTTCCACCAATAACGCTGGCAGCAACCGCCCGCCTTAGCAATCGCGCCCATCGCCTACAAAGCGGTGTCATGTTGAAACAACAGAAAATCATACCTGATTCATCGTAAAGAATGCGCCTCTCTTTGTCGGAAAGTATAGCATAAGCTCTCGTAATAATCTGAAATTTTGCGGTAGCATCCTTCGCTGCGTCTTCAGCAGAATCAGCCTTATCGGGATGCCATTTCATGGACTGCTTATAATAAGCCTTCTTGACTGAAAACAATAAGGTAACAAACAGTAGCAGCAGAGTAACTTCAAATGGAAGCTCACTTTGGGATACTGTTGCTGTCCTGTCGACGCGTAGGATCTCATACAAATCCTCAGTGTTGAAGTATTGCTTACAATCACTCAGAAGCATCGTTCAGAGTCGCAACAAGATGGAACACTAGAAACCGAGCAATTGAGACACTATAGAAACTATAGAGTATTTCGACACTTTCGGCCAAAGAAATGAGGTGCTAACGTAGGACCACTTGGCTGCGCCCGTATATACCATTCTCACTTTGGACTCACCACTTTTCGAACCAAATTCACCTTTTTTCAAACCAAATTCACCACTCTTTTTAGGACCAGCGGGATACAGCGCCAGCACACATCCGAAACCTGCCCTACGAGCGGCGCATCTACTTGACAGCGCGAATAGATTTTTCAACACACGCACGCCAGGGCCCGCCCCAGTCTTTAAAGGGTTTGTTGCGAACTTCGAAATTTCATAACTTTTTCAACTTTTTAATTTCACATCCACTCTTTGCACAGCGAAGATACTCGTAACCGCGCATTCATGCTCCGGCAATTCAGGCTCCGCCCTCTTAGCCACGCCCAGTCGCTTTTTGCGAAATTTTGATAGTTCTTTTTTTCAAATTTTTGCATTTTTGGATTGCTCCACGAAGCCCCGCCCACTGACATGAGAGAGGCTCCGCCCCCTATTAAGGAGCCCCGTCCCCACTTTTTCAAAAACGGGTGCAAATAGCCACATAAAGCCTTGGCTTGGCATGCTAAGGGTCTACCCCCTATTCCGTCATCTCGAACAACGTGACGCGACGAGAACCCTAGGAGAAACGCCCAAGGCTACTATACTGCCGCAGATTCATGCACCCATTTTTGAAAAAGTGCACTCACGGCTCCCTCACAGAGCAAGCGGCAGGCCTCCTCTCAGCTGGCCGACGCGCTTCGTGGAGCAATACAAAAATGCCAAAAATTTGAAAATAATCAAAATTCCGCAAAGAAAGGCCAGCGTGGGCGTCGCGCAAAAGAGGCGCGAGCGATGAATTGCCGGAGCATGAATGCGTGGTTACGAGTGTCGTCGTTACGCAAAGAGGATGTGAAATTAAACAGTTGAAAAAGTTATGTGATTTCGAAGTTAGCAACAAACCCTTCAAGACTGGGCGGAGTCCTCCATGTGTCGAAATTCTATTCCGCGCTGACGAATAGACGCGACCGTCGGGGCAGGGTTCGCAGATGGTGTCTGCGTCGAAGTGTCGCGGCAACTGCCCAACAAGAGAAACTAAACATAAAAAAAACAGACAGTGGTGAACATCCTCGCGTATTGAAAAGATGGATATTAATCGTGACAAATGTATATACACCACCCATACATATCTAAACCAAAACGGCTCAACCAGTAAGAGCACGGTAAAATAACACGAGCAGAAGCACCAAAAGAAACAACACAGCCACACACACTCTTGACCATAAAAAAAAAATAAGCAAACTGGTAACTGTTAATTCGGATATTCTTAAAAAAATAGAATATATAAAGCTTCCGCTTATCAGTAAAACAACTCCAACAAAGCCGGAAGGTAGTCCAGTAGAAGAGACATGGCCTCCACTAAAATCTAAGCCTTGATTAGAGGAAGGGATACGGGAGCGCTGGCGAGTGGTGCCCGCCTCCCCCCCCACCTTCCTCGACTCCGCTACATACAGCTGTCCCATAAAAAGTTCAAGCATTAATCGAGGACATACTCGCGAAGTGCAATAAGGCATAATAGGGGGAACAGGTTGCGTCCGCATTTTCTGGACAAGATGTGCTATGGACCGCAGGACTGAAGGAAAGAAGATGGTTTCCAGAGCGGCTAGTCCAAAATGCCGTGCCCACATATAAGAATGCTTAAGAATAAGACCCAAACGGAACCAATTCGAAGCTATCTGCCACAAGCCCGCACAACCTATAAACAATATCTACCAAGCTCCACTACCCAAAAGGCCACGTTGTTCAAACGTACTTCTTTAAGAACACTAAGGAAACGCATCTAGCAGAGCAGAAGCCGCTAGCTAGAAAAGATTTTGGGCTCTGAAATGAGGATTGCATAGCAGGTAGAATGAGTTCCAGGAAGGGCGAACAAACTCTCTTGTGCGAACAGTGGTTTCACAAATCCATGAGAAAGAGTTCGCCCACCTCTAGAACATTACAAAATGGCCCACATTTTGAAACACCGCCTACTTCCGGGCACCAATTCAAAAACTCGTTTCTCGACGTGGAATGACATGTATTGACTGCGGATACACAGAACACCCCCTGCAGGACGTCCTCGATTTTTCGAATTCGGTGTATTCTATCATTATTTTTCTCCCTGATTACTTGGATAGATCTTATACTCGGTCATGTCCTGTATAAATTTCGGATCGCAAACTGCAAAAAGCAGTTATCACATTAAAACAAATTCGGGAAACTTCCTCCTCTCGAACAATTTGTTTTGTTTTCTTGGTGTCTTTTACTGCTAGTTCGTTTCTCCTTTCTTTCTGCTCGCAAGTGCTTGCTTGCATTTGAATGCATGAATGATTAGTGAGGTTTCAGCCAAAAATGGCCTTGAACGTGCTTGGTAATGATGGCGCTCAGGAAATCTCTCACGTTGAAGACGACAAGAACGTAAGAATGTTTCCACTTTATCATTTACCATTTGTTTTTTTTTCAAGCTTCACTCGCCATCAGATATTATCGTATTCAGGGAGAGTCGCGGCTTGTTGATATCGATGATCGCGAGGAGTACTTCGTGAAACCGTTGTACACATACTACTGTAATTGTGGCCAGGTATGCTGTTTACGAAATAAAATCCTTCTTTCTCTACAAGTGATGCTAACCAATTTGAACGGCGCTCACTTCTCGCATAAGTCGCGCGATTCATGCGATCGGGTCGCAAAGTATGAACGCACTCTTAGTGATTACATGTTCAGATGGCAATGATCAGTGACTGTTTACTTATTCGTATGCCTCTACGTAAGCGAGACGGTGCCAGGGTCATTGATCCAGAGAGAACTACTGCAAAGACGTTTTCTGCTCAGGGCGATACCGTATATGTTCAAAGGTGGGTCGTCTCTCGTCAAGCTCTACTTGATTTGGTTTGACAGGGCAGTGCCACAGTCGATCATAGCTATACATACGCATTCAGGGAATTAGTACTGTACTGCTTTAGCAGACCACTGTTCCCTGATAGAAACAGCATTGTGGGAAGAATCTTATCGGAGGGCCGTACCTTCTCGCTAGGAGCTGTAGTGTATGGTGATGGGTAGTATCTGGCCTTGGCAGGGTTTTTCCGAGCTGCGAGAGAACGTTCTCCTCCTAGATTGGGGGGGGGGGAACGCGCAGAATTATTAATCAGCTACTACACGATACTTGAAATCCGTAGTTGTTCGGTGACGGTCACTGGGAAAATTTGTGGAACGACCTCCGCCAAAGTAAATCTCCTCCTCTAATACGTCCTCCCTCCTCTAGAAGGGTGAGCAGTGCTCTGCCCATGGTTATATGTTAGTTGGTAAAGCAGGTAAATCAACTATTAAGGAATATTTTTCTTGAGGCCAAACGCGACCTTCCCCGCTGTGGACCCCCAGCATACGGCGTGCCCCTCCCCAGGCCAGCTGGGCGACCTTCTTTACGAAAGAAAAATCTGGGAAGTCTCCTGGACAACTGGGAAGGAGAGTAGGAAGTTGGTGAAAACTAGGTGATGGAGCGGTCGGGTAGTGGGTTTGGTAAAGGAAAAGAGACGACCAATAGAGTATTGGCTTGCGCGGCTCAACATATACATTACATCGCAATGCTGTGCTGCACTGTCCCCTTTATTCCTTAACTGTGTACATCACTGTTCTCCTTTTTGCTTCTGGATACTGACCTTTTATTGTGTCAGGTTGCTGCTTTTCAAGGGGTCGCTTGGTAGCATCAATATGTAATCCATATCCATTTGCCATAACTCTCCGTATTTGCCAAGTTCTCCTCTCAGGCAGCCTCATTTCTGTGAAGTAGGAATGGTGCAGGTTCAGCGGCAGTACTCGCACCCGCAACGGTTCGAGACTGAAGCCAAAGTTGATTTACTGGCTGACATTTTGGTGAGTTCACTTTTTCGGACCTTGAAAGATGGAAGTCGATCCAAAAGCTATTCTACTGGATATCTCTCACCCTCATAACTTATGGGTCGATTTCCATTACTTCAGGCTCCGAAGAAGCTAAACTCATCGAAATATCGTTCCGTCAGTAAACGTTTCAAATCATTAGCTTGGTCAAACAAGCAGCATTCGTACGTTCTATATTTGTAAATAAAATGTTGTAAATATTTTTGGTGACATCCTATTGTAAGATTAAATTTTTCAGGCCGGAGGGATTGGAGCAGCAGTACCGTAAAAATTGTAAAGGCTGTGGTGTCCCCCTCTTCTATCAACATCCATTCAATTTGAAACTGGTTTTCATATTTCGAGATGCATTGCTTTCTGCCCAGGAAGTTGGTGGATTCAGTGGAAATAATGAAGAGCAGCGCGCAAAGAAGGTAGTTATCTAATCAGTGTGAACGCTATGAGCTAGCTTTAGGTTTCTGAAATGCAGATACATCTCAAAATATTTTTTTTGCATTCGATGACGCTGTTTCAGATTATAATGAAGAGGAACGTTAAAAACCAAGGAAAAATGGGATCAGTTACTGTCTCTACGATGGAGGGAGAAGAAGAGGAGGAAATCGAAGCTGTATGAATTTTTTTGATTTTGTTTTCCCATCCTTTTCATAATTGATTTTGAAAAGTGGTGCCGAAAGCAACAGCATTCGTCAGTGTTCGTTTGATGTAATATAACTTGATCATTTAGCGCGAAACGGCTGAGTCATACTCCATGAACGCTCGTATTGTGCGGGACGCTTTGAAGCGGAAAGGAATGATAAGAGACAAGTTGTTGGGCCGTGAAATTTCAGGAGGCCCTGCTCCTAAAAAGAGAGGAACGCTTCTGTGATGTGATGATCCAATGAGAACACTGGGTAGGTTTCTGTGTTCTGAAATGTGTCGTGGTAGTCGCGTGAGAATCCTCTGGAAGTCAATAAATACAGGCACATTTCTCGATTCTAGGAAGGGTTCCTTTTGGAACAGATTTATTTATCGATGGTAAGGTTTCCCAGCGAAGAAATAAAAAAAGAACTCATTATCGTCGTTCACTAATAGGATCCTCCTCGGATTCCTACTCGTTTACGGGGTTTGGACTAGTTTTATGGTCCTCGAGAGCGGAGACTGATTGTGGGGCGGAGCCCCGGACCCGTCGCTGGCTCCCGGGGCCCTTGTCTTTTTGGAGCGGCGAGATTTGTGCACTCCATGTGTCTGCTAATCTGTCTACAGTATACACGGGAGAATTTCACTTCCCAGGACATCGCAAAATGTGCCTTTAGCAGGAACTGATTGTGTAGCTATCAACGCTCTGTTTAATGGTTTTCGTTACGTTTACTGTTCAGAAGTGTACTTTTTCAGTATATCGGTTTTGTTGGATAAAAGACTCAACGATCTCGATTCGAAAGCGTCTTCAAGTACTTGTAATTATCGTTGTGTATTCACCTCTTAATACGGCTCAGCTCGGAAAATGATTGTAAACAATATTATTCCATTCGCTATGTGAACTACTAAACATAGAGATTTATTATAATAAAACATGGCTGATATGCCCTACGAACATCTTTAAATACGTTTATTACAAAGAAGTGCTGGCGTTTGATAGCGCATAACAGCCGATTAGAGGCACGAACGGACACCCTAAATTAGACATATTATGTGAATGGCATCGTAAATAGCATACAATGTTTCTACTTGAAGTGGAGTTACATTTCGGTATAAGTTCAATATAGGGGACTCGATGCTCTGTGTATGTTTTGACGTCATCGATTTCAATGAATTTTGTGATTAAACTGAAGATTTTATTTCTTCTTTACATGAGCGCGTGGCAAAACAATCGTTTTGGCGTGGCGAGCGCATGGACGAGTTATCTTGTCGGGCCGTTGGAATTTGAGTGTAGAAGGGGCGGTAAATATTTATTTATATGGCCGGTCATGAAGAGTTGTCTCCGTTCGAATTCAGTCAAGTGCCGCTGATCTAATTGATAAGCTCATACACATTGAATGCGCCGCGCATCGCGGCACGGCGCGACAAATTACGATTGTCCTGTCTGTCACCCTCTATACTGGTGTTTCGGTGTTTATGGCGAAGTTCTGTTGCGGTTTTACTTTGCACAAAACTTGTCCGGGTGTGGGTTTTATGATATCGATCCTTCACAAGCCCCGGAAGAGGTCGAACATGTTGTAAGGTCCGGCCGAGGTGGCGCCAAAAGTTGTACGAAATACTTATGAATCGCACGACTGGATGGATAAAGCATTTACCAAGTAGACTCAGTGGTACTGTAATGGAGAACACCAAAAGCAAGTGAAGCAACACCAAGACAAAACTGTCATAAACCACCTTCGGCACTCACAACCTTGGGAGATTTAAAGGACTCGTGCAGGGCTAAGAATGCCCGAATACAGTTACCGTACCTCATTCTGCCTCTTCTCCTCCCCTTTTTGTTATGCAAAAATCCTTACAATAATTATAGTTTGGCACAATCAGCCCTTCAGAGTTGAAAGCTTTCTCTTTTGCGCTTTGAATACCTCCCAAAAAACGCTGAACTGTACAGCCTTGTCCACTGCGGACGCTGGGGTGTGTCAGGCAGGGGTGGATGTAGCGCGGCACCAGTCCGTGTTCAATTGTGGCGCTTACCAGCTTCCACAACTGGTTGGAGACGAGCTAGCGCGCGCGCAAACCCATCCTTCGATTGCCCACCTCGATAAAATCCAGGTGGAAAAGGGGTATTAAGTGCTTTATTTATAATGTCCTGACCTTTGCATCAAAAGATCTTTTTCTTCTCGGGTCCATGGTATTATTTATCATAAATTATCATTTTACTCACCCTTACATAGAAAATGGACCGGTTAACGAAAACTGGTGAGTGAATCAGCTCTGAAAGTTCCAGAAACTTTGAGTAGTTTTCAGACCACATTTGGATAACTGGATCTGAGAATTTAAGCTACTCTTATATTCTCAGATCAGTTGTCTTTAGTTAATCTCATGTTTGGATATTCTCGCTGAGATGATCAAAGATTTTTGAAATCAAGAATTCCGAAAGTAGTGAAATTTGTCCAAAAAAGGTATATGCTTTTCAGAACATCCTGGAGTAGCTTTCTAAAGAAAAGAGTTCCCCAGAAATTTCTTAAGGAGTCCAAATGTGGTCTCTCAGAGGTGCTGCTCGACAAATTTACGTTGCCATAACTAGCCACGATTCTCTAATTAATTAGACCCTGGTTCGAGCGCCGCGCACGTGAGGCCACTTGCAACCGTTGTCGTAGCAATGTGGATTCGGTCAAGTGTTCATTGGGCTCACCCATCGACAGCCGAGAATTGGGAAATGTCTATGTTCTTGTTTTTTTTATTTATAATTCTAGACGCTATCAGTCTATTGTGTATATAATTGTTAGAGAAAACTCACCCTGGTGGAATTGTATGTGTCAATCATCTTTCGAAGTTTGTTGCCGAAGTCGGGGTGTACCTGCAAGTTCATTTCACTTAGCAACGACTGGAAAATATGAATCTCTTGTGAACCTTGATAGGCAACGCTTGAGTCGTCCTTAATAAAAAGTCCTGCACATAGTGCAGAAGACAAAGATAGGCCGTTTATAGCATGACCTTACGGTGGCGGGGGGGGGGCGACTATGTGAATGTTCGGCGAGTTGCTCAAAATTGGGACTTAAAGACACACGCGAACGCTCAATGGCTAGAATTTCCTCTGTATGTACAATATGTAGGTCCGCAACATTTAGTAGTGTAACACACAGTCTCTCGAAAATATGTGGTAGGGATGAGCGGGGAGAGGCGACTTCAGTCTAACTTGCCATCTTTAGTAAAGCTATTTCCCTTAATTTGTGGGTATCTCTTTTCATTGCTTGTGTAATTGAGTTCTCTCTCGCCCGTGGTTGTCTAGTCTCGCCTGGGCTGCCAAGTGTCTCTGCGTCTCCTCTGCACTTACCGCGTGCTCACCCAGTGCGCAGAAATGAACTGAGCCTCATTTATGGCGTTTTTAACAGGTTATTTTCCGCGAGGCTGGAAGCTTTTATATGTCCTGAAGCTGTTCTAGTTTTGGTATTGCTGTTTAACGCCGCAGTGCGCGCTCCGAAAGTTATCACAAGAATGCTGAGATATTGGCAAAAGTCGGACCCGGGACGGGACTCGAACCCGAATCTTTCCTTACCGGGCGGCTGCGTTGACTAAAAACAGTATCTACACGTTGTTTTTGTTGTACTGATAGATAAGGAAACCCTTACATTTGCGAAGTTTTGAATTGCACGTTCCTGTATGTACGGCTTGCAGTCTTTCATCGTGCCGAAAATGTTCTCTACAAGCCGATTTCGTGCTCCTTCGTCTAGTACCTGACAAGAATAATGATTAGAACATCAGGGCGCGTTTTTTGTTGTAATATATTTACAATATTACCTTCTCCCAGAACTGGTCGTGGTTGTTCAAAGTTGTCCTCTCGATGGATTTCGTGGCGAGCACGTTCTTCCTGATTGCCCACTCCGCTTTCCTCTGTTCTCGTCAGCATTTACCTTATCCACAATTGAAGCTTATTCGCGGAAGTTAATTTTGGCAGCCCTTCCGTTGCCTGTCTGGGGCAATAACAATTAGAGCGAATTATGGCAGTGGTTAGTTGTCAGAAAGAAGCGTTACCTCGCACTTTTTGGAGAAACACCCATGGAAAAGGTTACGCGCTTGAATCGAAGTCCTCAATCCAAGGGGACGGGGTGAGACAGGGTAATCACAACCCTTTATTACCAGCTAATCCTTAGAATGATTTCTCTTTTCCATTCGAAATCGGATTTCATGACAGGCAGGGGGCACTAGACAGTGCTACAGGGCACCATCATGGTATAGGGACGAGGAACGTCTGATAATCCCGTCAGCGCAACCCTTCCCTCATAATCTATCCCACAGTACGATCCTCCTCAAAAGCTCCGTAGAGCATTCAGATCGCGATAGGAGAAATTTTTCTCCGTAATTACCTCAAAATCCACCTCCCTTTCTCTGCCTCGAACTCATACCCCGAGACAATATAGAGTAATGAATGTTCGAGCGATGAGAGCGAGGGATAACGGTAAAGGGGGAGCTACCACAAACGAAAAACTGCCATATTTATCCTTCAGAATTTTTCCACACGGTTCCCATGAGTGCCGACCCTTTCAGACGGCTCGTATATAATCTTTCTTTTTTACACGACCAAAATACGATCCTACGAACGAGGGAATCTGGGCCAAAATCACTATACCCTGCCTAGAAGACGTTCCTGATCAGAAGAAGCAGAATAGCTCTGACAGGTGAGGCTTTGTACAAATCTGCCGAATTAAAGCATCAAACTCACCCTGATTATCGTAGCAAGCAGCACCGTCCCTCTGGGTGTTATAGGCTCGAGACCTGTACGGACAATTGATGGGCAATTGGATATAGTTCGGTCCCAAACGATGGAAATGTGTATCGGTGTAGGAGAAAAGTCGACCCTGGAGCATCTTGTCTGGGGAGAATTCGACTCCAGGAACCACATGGGCTGGACAGAAGGCTGCCTGCTCTACCTGCAAGTAGGAGTTCATGAGGTCCTACTCTTTAAAAGGTAAACTGCTTTGTTTACTAGTTATGAAACTTCTCTAGGTCCACAACTGTTGTTTGCGAAAGCTGCTTTGAAAAAAATGGATAAAAAATTGACTCACCTCAGCGAAATAATTTCTAGGATTCCTGTTAAGTGTCATTGTCCACGCGGACAATCAGTGGAATTCGCGGTGGCCAGATTTGGTAACCGTCGACTGGATTCATTGGCCAATTCTGTGCTTGCTCGAATGTCATCACCTGAACTCAATCTTTTTGGGAGATTCCGAGTTTTGGAAAAGAGCAACAGACCTGAATGTGGAGGTTCCACTGAGGAAAATCTCCTTTTTCGATTGCGTTGTACAGATCGCGAATAGCATAATCAGGATCTTCACCAGCAAGACGAGCAGCGTCGGCAGCAGAAGAGATTCCTAATCTCTTTCGCCTACAATGAAGCTACTCCTATTTTTCCTTGAATTTAAGGAGTTTCCTACTGAACATTTTTCCAAGGGCATATTTCGCGTCATCGAACGGTTGGAGACAAATAACATCTCATCTCAAGGGACAGAGCCACCGCTGCAAGAGGCAGAAATGGACTCTTGCGCCGCATAGTTCCACGCCGACTAGTGGGGCGTGATCAGTGGGTGGACGTGTCAGTGGGGGATGCTTTTGGCGCCGTACCATACCGTTTTTTCCACAGTGTTGAACGAGCAACGGACAACATATTTTTTTTTGTCGCTGGCAAAACTACTGATCCGAAATATGATGCAGTCTTGTCGTTTCATCACTCCAAAAGATATTGGGAAAACGTTTTGGCATCGCGCCAAAAGACTGACACGCCCCATCATGCCACGAACGAATTGGAAGGCAAACGTACCTCTGCGACAGATGGCGGCCTTTCACCTTCTAGCCAGGGGCTGTGCGGTCAAAAATGAGCTGTAGTAAAAGTACCTCTTATTCGAAGCGAGTTCATTCGAAGGATCAAATCCCGCCTGGTTAATTCGTTTATGCAGCCGGTTAGTTGGATAATTGGGAGCGCGGAGCACTTACCCCACGTACACGCTGCGTCAAGTTTTTGAGAGCGTAATTTTGGATACAATGCAGCTAGATAGAATATGAGTCTGGGTAAATATGGAAATTGCACCGGCGCATCCGAGAAAACGCCTGCTTTCGAACAAGAAGAGAGTATCAAAACAAACCTTGAAGTGGAATTTACAATAAACCGGGTCTCCTTCCGCATTGACTAGTTTGAAGGTATGGGAGCCATAGCCGTTCATAAAGCGGAAGCCATCGGGAGTTCCTCGATCTGACATCAAGAACATCACCTGAACGGATGGATGATTAATTTTGAAAAAAATCAGAAATGCAGAAATCGTCAGAAACCTCCCAGACACACCTGACTGTTTGGCATTCAGGGGGGCTCCTCCGAAGGACCCAAAAGTGCCCACTCAGGGTGCTCCATATCTTTAAGGTGAGTCTGTGGATATCCTCTTTGGGTATGAATGAAGTTCGGGAATTGGATTGGATCACGAATAAAGAAAATTGGTGTATTGTTGCCGACCTGGAAGAGTAGTAATTGGCTAAGATCTGATTATGTAACACCACGCTGACATAGCACAGGTACACTCCATACCGCCACGTCGGGAGGGCGTGGCTGCGGACCCCGTTTAAACATGGCCTTAGGATACTTTGTTCGTACAAGATTTCCTTTGAGACAACTATCACCCTGTTTGTGCTAACCAAAGGCATGATTGTAATTACTTTAAAGCAAAAATATCCCGAATATGTCAAAGTTCGAGGTGACAGAGCGTTCGTGCCACGCACCTCTTCCATCTTCGGCGATTGAGGGGAAATAACCGCAATCTAGTACGCAGACTGTTAAGGGACAGATGACGACTCCTAACATAAACAGATCTATGTTACACCTGCTTCGGATCTATTTATGTAAAAATAAATTACCAAGTCCCAGTTTCCCTCCTCAGTGTAGAATTTCACAGCAAAACCGCGTGGATCGCGAGCAGTAGCGCTGAATCCCGGACTCTCCAGCTGCAACATGGCAAAATGTAATAATCATGAGTTCCTGCAAATGTAGGGCCATATGACGGGGGGTTATGACTCTGAAGACAACCATACTCAGGATTCCTATCAGCTGTACCGGACTCAGGATGGCATTGCTGGGGGAAAAAGGGCGACCTGGCTGCTTTGCGATTCGCGCCGCGCGACACGCCTTTTCGCTTTGCAGCGATCATGACTGTGTGTTTGGTTGATAAGGCCGCAATCAGACAATCAGTTGGTGACAGACGGAAAGGTAGCTCGCAATCCAGCTGGTCCTGCTCATCAGTTGATCGTGATTGATTCAGTGATCGATGGGATAAAACAGCAAGTATGTGAAATGAATGCAGAGGCTGGCGTTCCACCACAGGTTCCATCGGAGTTGATGTGGTGGACAAAGCCGCAGCTCGCCGCACTGATGGTGAGATTGGGTATCCCCTCAAAAAACCAAGCCCTTCGCCCCCTGGGTCAGCTGCTTTCACCGGCCTTCTCTAGGAAGATTATCCAAAGCGGACAGGGAAGCGGGGGGGGTGTAGCGGGCTCTGGTTTCAGGGGAATACAACAATGTCACCAGCAGTGGGGCAGCTGCCAGCTTTGCACCACCGCAATAAATTCAGATGGAACCTGTGATCGAATGGTCAACCACTGGAAACTATGCGACTCAACTTTTGTTGCTCTCGGGTCATGCGTTTTGTTGTACGCGTTTGATACGTTCGGTGCTACGTGCAGTTTCGTGCTGAGTTGCCCGTGTTCCTCTGTTGGTATGATAAGATAGAGTATTCTCACGGCGCCTTGTAGTTATGTAAAACGGGTGTACATACCAATTCAGCCACCGAGAAAAGTCATGCTTTTGTTAGCTCATTCAGGAAGTTTCAAGTTTGTCAGTCAGTGCCAATGATGACAATAGAACAAAATTATGAATTTGATGTTGATTTTCTCGATTCTAGTACTCCTCGAAGTTTGTAGCACCTTTTCGTACTCTGACGTTTATTTTTCCTGGCAAGGTGGAGTTACATATGGAGACCTTGAGAAATACCCTCATGGGGCTCCATTCTAAGATGTAGGAGGTTATTGACAGGCCGTCTTTGTACCATGTGAAAAAAGTGATTTTTTAGAACGATTTCGACTTCAGGTAAGCCCATTCTAGAGATCACATGGGCACCAGTTCTGCATCAGATGTGTGCTCCGAGGCCTCCTCCTTCTCCTTCTTTGGACGCCGAGCCTCATGGAATTTCAGGGATTTAGAGGAAAGGGAGGGGGGGGCGTGACGGAAGTGGGTTGGTGAAAGATACACTTGAAAGTACCAGTACTAGTGGTGGAAGTGGAGTCGGTGCTGGAGATTATAGACAAGTAACCAGCAGGTGGATTACCAAGAGAAAGAGATCCAGAGGGCTCAACAAAAGGTTTCCCGAACGGATGCTAACGTACTGCTCGCTTACAAACGTTTCTTTGGGTGAAAGGGTTGAAGCACGTTTCAGTGCAGTGCTTTGTAATAATGAGAAGCTCGTGAGTCCTACCTCTCAATCGGCTTTCGAAAAAGCTCCTATGAAAAAGGATTGAAACGGCCTTTGGGTAAGGTCAGGGCAAACAGGGGTGCTAGCAGGGGAGGCAGTGGTCACGGATGGTGCTCTCAGTTCAGCTATCAAAAGAACTTGGCTCGGATTCAGGCATGAAAGTTTGGCCTCCATTTCCAATCACTCTTAAAGCCATATCTTCGATGAGTGGAGCAGCTATGTTGAATCTGCCACTCTGTCCCAGCAAGTGCACTATTTCACACCCCCTCACAATTTATACTCTTTGTACTTTATACGGCCAAGTGGGGATGCGAAATAACTTTCAGAGTTCTGCATGTTTCAGAGGCGATGCAATTTTAGCGCTTCTATTGTGCTAAAAGATCCTGCGCTGCTCCCCCCACCCCTTCAGGTTTTTCGGCCCTTCCGAAATCCTTCTTTTTCTTTTGTTGGCTTCTCATGTGCTTCTCTAAACTGGGGAGCAGTTCTTGTGATATACTGTATCCCGGACAAATGTTTGTGTTGGCGCTCCCTGATGTAAGTTGGCCAGTAAGTGGCAAAACATGACACTCTCGTCGATTCCTTCTGAAAAACTCACGACTGCTTGAAAACACGAACGAAAACATGGTGCTTTCTTGCCGATCCTTCCACTGAAATTATGTCTGCTGTTGACAATATTTTTGTGATATACGTTGGGTCACTTCGAATATTCCATGTGCCCTAGAATGAAAAAGTCGCAAATGAACAAGGAAGAATAAATTCAGCTTCTAGGTGAAGGCAATAATTACATAACGGTCCCAGTTAAGCCAGTCAAATCTTGCTAAGTCATAACTTTTCCCTTCTTGCCCCCTTTCCCCACCGCGCCTCCTTTGATAGGTGGTAAGATTGCCTCGCAACCATGCTTTGCGCGCGCCCTGTTTTGTTGGGTTTGGAAGTTCGAATTCCTGTGTTTTGGGAATGGGGATAGCGACGATAATCTCTAAGATCATAATACACTACAATTCATTCCCGGACGCTAATTCAGGAAAACCGGGAAGCGCAAGCTTTCGCCGCATGGAACCCGCACAGCTAGCTGATGGGCTCGATCGCCACAGCACTCTGGGCTTCAAAGCAGTGCGCTTTGATGCGATGAGGGTTGGGCGCGTCGCTGCTAACATGAATGGGTGGGTAAGGTGAGTATGAGTAGTGCCCGGACATACCTTCCGCCGCCTACCACCAACAACGTTAGCCCCCACCGAGCCATTGCGTGTCCACGCGTTTGAGAAGCACTGCGCCAGCTCGCCTCCTTTCCACATGACTATCACGGCCTTGTCTCGCTTAAAATGACAGCGGATTACTTGCATTTCCTTCCATTTCACACCCATTGCGTCATGGTCTGGCCAATGCGCATACTATTGCCGTAAACTAAAACCTTCATACCTGGGGCGGGTAAAATCTACTCGTTGAGGCGTCCCACTCGCTTCACCTGCAGGATTTACTTCAGATAAGTCTGATAGACAACACTTGGATCTGCTTGCGGCGAGTCGCTGTCCGAATCCACCATCTCGAAAGGAGCAACGCGTTTCTGGCTTCCAGGTAACTAGTCTTGAGCCGATCAGGAGCGAAGCTCAGTTGCCTTCAAGAGGCCTCCTCGCCACCCAAAAACATGATGGTTGTTAGAGCTCAATTACTGAAGAAAAGGTGGCAGTCAAGTCATTAGTGAAGAAAAAAGTCCTCGGAATGCTTCACATAGAGTCCTCTCTCGATCGTGTCTCAAGTGCGTGAGCATTGGCCGCGTTTTATTGACTGGAGTGATCAGCGATTTGGGAGAACTTAGCTATCGGGAAACTCAGCGATGCGAGAGGTAGGAGGTAGACGAGGAAAGTATAAGTATTGATCTGGCGACTGCGGCAATCGAGAGAGCCGGCGATTCAGGACTCACCGGTTTTCCGGCGACCGTCAACGGCGTGTATGTATCGACTGCGCCGGTTGCTAGCGATTACGGAGATTCGGCGATACGGTGATTTGGAAGACTTTGCGATCTCCCAAACACCGGATCGCCGAGTCTCTTGAATTGCCGGATGGATGCCTACACTTTCCTGTCGCGCAATCTCTCGAATCGCCGAGTCTCCTAACCGCTGAATGTCCTCAGTCGCAACGCCAGTGAAAGCGGGCCTATGAAAGGGAGAAGGCGCTGGCCGAGTCCACCTTTGGTCAAATTAGGGTCAGATCATTTTTTTTTAATCGACCTCACTATCAATCTCTTATCCCCTTGTAAATTCACTTCATCATTCGAGATGAAAAACAGACGGAACACTGCGCAACCAGCGAACTTCCAGAATTGAACGTTTAAGGCCAGGACAGTGAGGAGTATGCTTTACAATGGAGCATGCGACCTTCCCACGGAGCTGGTAGCGTCGGTATCAGGTACTCTTCCTCAGAGGATAACATCCTATACGCTGTGGACTGCTATTACCTGCCACGAGGTCGGTGTCTACTCTTTCAAACAAATGTGCCTTTTCGGCCTGCTGCGCTCATGGGAGTTTTCGATTAAAAATGAAGAGCTTACCTCCTCCTTTGGCGTGAACCACTCTCTCCGGGATCCGTTCGCGATCAAAATGGGCCATTTCATCCATGTAGATAACATCTTGCATGAGGAGTGGGCCTCTAAAAAGCAGTAAGATTGCATTAGTTTATCCGTACCTAGGGAGATTCCTCTTATTCCAGATGCTTCACATTTGTGGTCCCTGACCAAACGACAAAAAGAATGTCACCAAAAACATCGTTACCTCGGTCCAACAGTGAGCACATTAGTTTTGTTGAAAATAGGAACGCCATTGGAAGTAGTTATTACTCTCGGCGGCGGTTCCTGAAAAGACATTCACTCACAACTTTCTTTTGGAAACCGACCAAATCTCATACATCACCGGCTGCCCTTTCTTGAAGTCCTCTAACTGCTCTGTCATTGCTCTAGGTGAGGTTTCGGCATGGCGCTTTTCGACTGGTTCTCTTCGTGGCTTCTAGAACGAATAGTTCACACCTACTTAATGGTTGATACAACCTAACGTGTGTTTGTTTAACCTTGGAGTGATTAAAAGGCAGAAATGAAAGGGTCAGCAAGCCAAAAGGTGTTCCATTCTTCCACTCAAATCCTCGAATGAATTTGGGCAACAAGTTTTGGGGGACTAAAAAAGGGTTTCAGGGGGAGCACGTCAGTTCGTGAGAATTCCTCAGCGAGGGGATAGTATCTTCATCGCTCTAGGGAGGAATGCTTTTTTTTGCTTAGACGTTTCCCAACAGCGGGGGAGTGCCTTGTCACAAGAGTAGCGAGCGAAACCAGTTGTTGGCGTTATTTTTCACGTTGAAGAAAGCAACGAACAGAAATGTAGAAAATCATACGAAAAGAATTATCCAAGGAATTCCTGCTGTAATGGCCAGGAAAGTCGGTCATTCAGGCTCGTTGCTGAAATGCTCCCATCGCGAGGCAAAATCGACAACAGCATGATTCACGCTGTGGCTAGATAGCATGGCCTTGGTGATAACGGCAATGGGTTAAACGCTACCTTATGCCGCACGCTAGCAAAACACTGGGCAAACCATCCAAGAGCGTTTCAAAGATCGTTAAAACTCGTATTCGCGCGGTTATAAAGGGAAGTGGTTCTAGGAAAGTCACGCAAGGGCGGCAGCTGTTTCCCAGTTGTACTGAAGGGTGATGGACGCTTTATGACCCCGTCCAGAGGTGACAGGCAACAATAATGACTTTACGCTTTGGGCTGACATCATATCCACTTTTTGAGCACTGATTGCTCCTTCTCTTGAGCTACCAAATGGGACACAGGGAATTTCCGCAGAGTGGTTCACGCTGACGAGGCGGACACAGTTAGTAATTGGAGCGTTGAATTGGCAATGGCAGCTTTAACTCTTCTCTCTCGTCGTACTGTGGGACCCAGTTGCAAGACAGATAGGGGACAGCGTTGCCAAAGCATAAAAGTTGAAGGATAAAGTCTTCGCCGTTGATCAATCCTTTGTGGGATGCGGCACGCATTCTACTTCCATTCAGAATCGTAGTGGCTTATTGAATGCGATGTGGCCTATACAATGACTTGCGGGGGCCAGCCGATGTACAAGTCAGTGTTTTATCCTCCCAGACGAATCTGGTACCAATTTACCGTCCCCGGAGGGTAGAAGGCTTGGTTGGTCTGAACGGAAGTCGACCCGGGATATGAACCCAGGGCTGCGCGAGAGCCTTTCAGAGCATAGGAAAAGAAAAGAGCATACGGCGTGGGGGGAAGGCTTTTCAAGGGGCACGTACTCCAAGTTGAGCTAGCCACTCATCATATTGGAAAGTTGGAATAAGTTCACATAGTCCTGCAGACGGACATTAGCGGAAAATTGAAGAGATCAAAAGGTTTGTGGTCCAAATTGCTCATAGACCGTACCTCCTGGCTAGTGAATACGTTATTCTCCAGGATTTTAGAGTTGAATCAGCTAGGTCTCAATTGTTTATTTGCTTATTTACTTATTTATCTGTTTATCACCATATATGCTATACATAATCAGAAACTCTTGAAATTGATGGAAAATGAGAAACAAATGATAGCAAGAACTGCATAAAAAGAATAAAGTCTTGGCCGTTGATCAGTCCTCTTCGTGAGATGCGGTACGCATTCTACTTCCATTCAGAATCGCAGAGGCTTATTTGATTCGACGTGGCCTATACGGGGACTTGAGGCCTACGATGAACAAGTCTGTATTATTATCATACTAGACGAACCTGGTACCAATCCCCAGAGAGTAGAAGGATTAGTTCAGCCTGGGCGGAAGCCAATCCCGGATTTAATCCACAGACAGTACGTGTGGTAGGTGTGCCACTTGCCACTCCACCATCCTCTCCTCAAAAAAAGACTGGGCTCGAAACTCAAAGAGGCTGTTAGACAGCCTATACAAGTTGTGTCCCCCCACCCCTTCGAAAGTGGTGTGGCCTTTTTCGAGATCGGGTTCGTTCCTCCAAAACACTCCTCCAGTTTTTTCCTACAGAACGCTTCCCCAGAATACTCCGGGGCACAAACACAGGTTTGGGTGCTACACCGAGCCCGTGACCCCACATGGTACAATGCGTTTCCCAACTTGGATCTCCCAGCGGACACTCAAGCATAAGCCGTGAAATCCGTGAAGATCGGTAATATCACGGACATTAAGTATTGAACTACTGCTGTCTCCAGTAAGAGGCCTCTGGCTGGAGAGGTTTCCTTACTAATTTAGTGCTAATGGGAAAGCCCCATGAAGGATGAAAGGATTGGCAATTTTCAGCGGGATTCAAGCACCAGTTTGAGGTGTGGTAGGTGCGCTGCTTGCCATTGCTCCACGCACCCACTACTTTGAAACTGCTTACCGTTGGCTACTTGCATAGGAATGTAGCAAAAACGGTTCAGTCGTCTATTATTCTCTCTGGAAAATACCGAGAAGATAAGGCACGCAGATCTAGCAGTGCGAAAAATAATTCAACGAGACCACTGGAACTGCGCTACAAAACGCCACTCACATTTCTCGAGTGAAGTGAATATAATGGCACGATTCTGATGGTGAGAATTATCGTTGGGATTTATAAAAGGGGTAAAAAAACAAGTCCTTCAAAGAGATTATTCCAAGAACGATATATGGTTCGACCCTCATCTTCCTCTGGTTATTTCCTGAAGTCAAGGACATACAAAAATCGAATTCATCACAATGACATTTGAGTGGTAAGAACGTCTCCTCACATTTCACGAAACAACGCGGAACCAAGCGTATTAGTGACAACTCAAAAAAGTGATTAGTAAGACAGAGTGTTTTGGGTACTACAGTTGTCATTCCAACATCGATCAGAGTGAAAACGTAGTAGTGACTGTAGATCAATAGAAGAAAGTGACTTGTTTAGCATTTTTTCTACGGCGCTTACTTGGGGTCAGTTTAGAATCGATCTTTCGTAGCACAAAGATACCAACGAGGAAAAAAAACATCATATACAATACCGCCCCCTAATTTTTGCAAAACTCGACGGTTAATCGTCGCACACAACTGTTTTCATTGCCATAACTGCTGAGAACTGGTTGGAAGTGATCTGAAAATTGGACCAGTCGATAGCCGTGCTCATTGCGAATCTAACTGCCTACAAACCTTCTAATTTTTCACAATCTTGTCAACTGATTCCAAGGGAAAACCACCATTGAGTCTCCAGTCACCTAAGGTGTTACCTGCAGATATGGCCATGTCGTAAACCCTCCACTTGGACCATGATCTTGGATCAAAGTGTTTCAAAGTCAGAATACGACATGTTTGGAAACAGCTTTTGATTTCCGTTAATTGATTTTGGGTGGTATCGTCAATGATAGTTTCATGTGAAAGTTCAAGTGGAAAATTTATGTTGAAAAGATCATTTCGATTTCATTTCTCCTTAACAGTCTAGCTTTCGAGGAAACCGGGGCAACTTTAGGCCAATCAGGTGGCAAAGGTAAATAACTACGATACTCGCCCTAACTGTTGGAAAAAGCGAAAAAAAAACGCCACTCCGCGTTTTTTCGTTGTTTTTTTGCTATAACCGTTTCTGTAAACTTTTCTTATATGGAAACTTACGCTGTTAGACTCAGCTCGTCGAGTTCTATGAAGATGATGTCCTAAAAACTGAAAAAGTTCGAAATTAGTGATCCGCTTTCATCGAATTACCTAAGGACACTCGTTAGCGAGCGAGTCTCGATATAACTGTAACCAGAGGGCAATCGTTGAAAGTCAAGCTTTCAGAGATGAAATGACGCACTGTGTCGCGTATGAAGTGATTATGAACTAGGTAGTTGTGTTTTTCAAGTGATGCTGATCATTACGGTGCCATTTTTCTGAAAATAGAGAGGTTTCACTCGACGTCACTTTTAAACGATATCGCTTTTTCAGTTCGATAAATCTCGCGCATTGGTCCAGTTAGGACCACACGAGCACAACGGGCCTAATGTGTGGAGCCGTGTTTTCCCCAACATTCGCAAAATTCAAGGATAAAGTCGAAAAGGAGGATTTCTTAGCTACATGAATTGAGCACTTCGTGCGATACTACGGCAAGTACGCGATTTTGAGCGTTTTCCAAACAGGATTTCCAGCGCTCTGAGTGGCCCCATAAGTTCCATAAAAACCTACGTACAGAACGTCTTGTGCTGTCCAACAGTTTGGTGGAAAACAGTTGCATATTTCAGACTGGTTGTTGTTGTCGGCTGCCAACTTCAAGACTTCTTTCAGAGCCAAGTTCACGTGTTTTTCATAATAAGAAAATCCCAGTCAAAGTCACACCATTCGAATCCTCATGAAGCGATGGCACGTCATTCGTGGGGGAATCCCAGGCGAGGGAGTCGCATTTGGACGTTGAGGGAAGGGGAAGATCGGGTTTGGTCCGAGAAATTTATCTTGATAATTGTTTCTGATTTACAGGTGCGCGAGTTAGAGGAATTCCAGGGAGAGGGTTCTATTTTCCGAAAATTTTTCCCAGTGACAGGACGTGCCCTGTTGGTGGCTACACCATTTGCT